CCTGGAGCCCACCGCTGCAGGAAACTGGACTAACTGGCACACCGCCGTCAACGTCCTGGAACCGAACTGAACTGAACTGAACTGAACAACTGAGACGTGAAGAAAACGTGTAGAACTGCAATATAGAACACTCGCAGTGGTCGGGGCCGGAACGGGGCTTACTACCGGAGGAAATCTGGACGCTCGATTGGCCGTGGCCATCTCCTGTCCTGTGCAAACTGACTGACTGACTGACTGACTGGTTTTGTTTAAATTCACTGTAGTAGTTGCGCGCACTCTGGGCTCTTTCACGAGGTCGGTTATTAATTTTGCCGTTGCTATTTATTTCGATTAGAAATGGCGATCAGGCCACTGCATACTCCTAAAATCGTCAAAAAACACCGAAAACAGTGGCACAGGCATCAAAGCGATCTTTTCAAGCGGTTGGGTGACAAATGGAGAAAACCGAAGGGTATCGACAATCGTGTTCGACGTCGTTTTAAGGGCCAGATTCGTATGCCCAAGATCGGGTACGGTAGTGCAAAACGTACAAAGCACATCCACCCAGATGGCTTCAAACACGTTCTCATCCACAACGTTAAGGTGAGTCTTTCTCCTTGCCATAGCATTGTTTCAGGAGCTGGAGGTACTCATGATGCAGCATCGGACACATGCCGCAGTGATCGCTCATACAGTGGCTCGAAAGAATCGTGTGAAAATCGTCGAACGAGCAAAGCAATTGAGTATCCGTTGTGTCAACCCCAATGCCGGTTTGCGCTCTGCCGAAAATGAGTAATGTGTAATAAATTTGTTTGGCTCTATGATTGGTTCTACACGGAACGCTGGTGTTTGACGATACTAGATGCGCTTTGTTCTTGGTATCGCTTGGGTTGGTTCCCTCGGTTAAGGTGCATCCAAGTGCTTCTCGGTTCACGTTTGCCCATATTTCGCCGAGGAGCGTTACCCTAGATTTGGCCACCACTTAAAAGTGTTTCTCCCCACTTATCGCTACGAGGTGCAGATGCTTGTTTGTTATTTACAAACTTGCTCACGATTCGTAAGATGGTTTGAGAGAACGCGTATCCGTTATGATAGCGATCAATATATTGTATGCCTGGGTAAGGAAGTTTTTGATTTGGGTATCGTTAAACGAGTGAAATAACTGATCCTATTTGTTACCCTTGGTTCCTCTGAAGATACTCGGTTGTTCTGATCACTTTTCACAGGCCAGCGTAATTTTGCCGTGAGCAATAAAACTCCTAGGTAGGTGAACGGAACTCGGTTGCCTCTTATTGTAATGAGTTAACTTCGGCAGCGTTTTAGCATGTCGGAACAAAAATGTGATAATTTCAGTGATGTTAGTCTGTAGTTGTGTGAGGCACAAATATAAGTGTTCGGGGGGAAAGCAGTGGAACGCTCGGCTTGGGTGATAACCAATAGCCATGCGTTAATTTAAGTCTTTTTCACGTAATTTGTCGACCGAATAAGTTGCAATGTGGAGTTCAAGGTTGACAGATGGAGAAAAAGTGAAAGACTGGTACAACACATGTGCATAGATTGTAAATATGTCGTTTCCGGCAGCCATATCGGTCCAAGTTCTCTAACATCGGGAAAACCATCTAACCACCCCTGAGGCCCTCTTGTTGTGGGGGTTTTCCCCCATCAAAACCAGAGGGCCAAAAGCCAATATCTGCGGCTGTAGCCGGGTTGGTGAACTTTGTGATAGTTCATATAGTGGAGTTCGCTAAGAAGCCTGATTCTAAATCAACCGGTGTACGAATCGTACCGTTTGGTAGTGGTGGTCCGGCTTGATTGAGCATCGAGGTGTGTTGGCCGTCGTGTACATTTGGCTTCGTCCAAGGGGCATATAATCCAATGAGCTGGACACCGACCCCTGATAGATCGCGGTTTTCACACCGCCTTGATGGTCAAGCTTTGGCTAGGCAAAGACTCCAGTTTTGAATTTTACAGGAATCATCGGGGAGTCAAGTTACCCGGAACTACGTACTTTCACAGGGTAAGTTCGGTCAGTCCTCTCAACACCCACCTAAATTGAATCGGATTGATTAAGATGTTCAGATAGGCAAGATATTTCCATGCATGCATGCCTTGGTTTTTGATATTTCTTCATATAACTCGGTCTACAATCAATTACACTGATCCCGATGTCAACAACCAATGGAACCAGTGCGACTCGTTTGCCCGAGTCCCTTCATCAGATTTTCCGTACCCTCGTACCAGGTTTTAGCTCGACAGCCTCTGCGCCTAGTTCCTGCAACGACCCAGACTGCTGCTTACACCGTTCGAGGTGCTGCAGCCCACACTTTATTCGTCTCATTATTGTGATTATTTATTTCACCACATCTGACGTCAGATTGCGAAACAAATCGCGATGAAATCTTTATGAAAAGAAAGACGTTCCGCGTTTGGTCTGTGGGCGGAATACTGTCAGTTTTCCCCGGTTAATCATCTTCAGGAATCCACTACCGGAGACATCGGCTAACCAAAGTTTGACCCGCAAGGCACTGGCGGTGTTTTAAAACCGCAATCCATTGGGGGCCGGAGTCCAGTTCATCGGATCATAAGCCCTTTGGTCTGGGCCAAACGTCCAAGGTGCCCAATACACCTTGATGCTCAATGAAACTGGTGACCACCGCCGCAAACGGGAGGTGGGTGTGGTTCGTATACCTCTTCTTCGTTGTTTCGGAATCAGGGGTTCTGACCAGCTGCCCTAGGTAACCTACAAGAGGTCCACCAATTCGGTTGAAGCCCGGTATGTTGGCTTTCCGTCCTCCCACTTTGGTGGGGAGACATCGTCACCATTATATTTATATATATTTGATAATAAGTAGTATTTGGATGACTGAACAAAATTTTCCTGGAAGCACACGACCGGGTACGCGGTTCTTGCCGCTCGTCAGACATGCGTGTCCGGTCATCTTTTGTCAGTTCATTCATATACTTGTGCCCAGGAAGTGTATTTTCGTCACAATAACCTTGTTTGCAACACCGGGTAACCATTGGATAGACAGCTCTTTCAGAGCCAGTCCAATGAAAAATCAATGCTATGATTCGATGTTTTGTAAGTGGGTTAGATGCTACTAACCGCAGCAAATGTGACCTTGTAATATATATATATGCATATATATATATATATACATATATATATATATATATACATATACATATATATATATATATATATATGTATATATATGCATCACCCTAGAGGCCAGTATTAAGATCCGTGAAATGCCTGCATTAAACTCACAAAGTTGTGCCACACATTGTACAAGCAAAGTTGATAAACGGTCCGATCAGCTGCCCGGTGGTCGAATGGGTATTGATTGTATCCTACCTGAAATCACTCTTCAAATCCAGGGTAAATATCTGGAAGCAACCTAACCAGTGTGGAACAATGCATGTACGAATTCACGAGTAAGAATATGTGGGACAGCCAGTTTCTTTAACCTGTGAGCATAAAAAAACGGTATTGAGGCTTTTATAAAACCGCTAATAGCCTGGGCAAACCATTACAGGTCATAGTTGAGGGTGAAACCGAGGTGTTTAACAAGTCTGGTTATCGGGTCGGTTTCAAGACTGAAATTAACATCGAGGCACAGGCCGGTTGTGAGATTCATAAGGGCTGTCCTGGAATTGGCCAAAACTGTCTGGACTAGGGAATTATTAACCAATCGCCATAATAACAGCATACTTGCAGGGGAATAAGTTACGATGAATGAAGAGATTGCCGGCATATAGAAAAAATAAAATGGACAGAATAGTTACCTGGAGAATACCGGAAACTCCTGAGCTCTGGGGCATCCTCCACTGGGTGCTCAGCTCTCACCTGTGGCTCCCAAAAGCTGTTTGGATAGAACAGCGGCCACATCCCGGTAAACCGCTCGACAGGCGGGCCAAACCAGGTTGAGGGTAACCGGGAGCTCAACTCCCGGCGAGTCGGTGTCCAACGTACGTGTTATGCTGACGAAGTCGACTCAGCGGCCGAGACAATGACTCCGTACTCTTCAGGATGCATGGATCCCTGTTCAGCTAACAACTGACAATGTCGTATGAGCTCCTCACAGAAGGCCACCGGCAACCATGCACCACCTTCCTGCTGCCGTGCAATTAGCACTTGGATGTGCAAAGACTAGAGATGCCAACTCGACCCAAAGCCGGGTGACGCTGGGGACGTTTCCTGTACCGAACTCCCAAGAAACTCATGGATAT